ATATTTTGTAGGCTTGTGACGCTGCATATATATTTGAAGGTATACAATAGAAGACATTTACTTTCTTCTCAGAAAAATCGGAAACCATAAATTCCAGCGGCATGAATGGCTCTGGTATGAACTCTGGCTTATTTCCACAATGGAGTGCATCCAAAATTTCTTAACGAGATTAGGAACTTCAGATGGCGACTATGTCCATGTAAATTGTCTGCTAGTAGGTTGTTCTGAACATCAACGAAAATTAAGCAGAGCCTTTGTATGGGAGCGATATAAAAATCATGAACCTATATTGACAATTTTTTTCACAGATGTTTTTAATCCGGAATGCCAAATTACAGACACTTTAGGCGAACATCTCCAGAGTACCGAAAATGAAATGAAACCATCAGAAGTTGGGTCTACAAATTTCATGTTTTCCGCGGACTGAACATTTACACCATAAGCTTTAAATTTTGTCATTGTACACACAGTCGTGGCTAACTTGAACCGATAAATATTGACCTATCATTACTTCAGCCATCCATTCTAATTAGTTGTCAGTCAACGACTCCTCTTGGTTATATAGTAAACTTCTATGGCCCATGTCTATCAGGAGTTAACATTTTGTAATTTTTCAACCATCTAGGTTCATTAAACGCTCTAAATATTACCCAAATTATCAAAAAAGGCCGTTGTTCGGGTCATAATTGTAGCCTCGAAAGCGATCAGAAAAACAGGGAAAAATAATGTTTGTGGTTCATTTCATCCCCCAAGTATTAACGGACCATTATCAAAAACAATAGGGGTCTTCTTTGGCCAGAACCTATATGCGAAATTTCGTGACGATTGGTCCATAACTGTGGCCTGTATATTGTTTAAAAATTACGATTGACAAACGGACGGACTGAGATGTGATCGGTATACTAAAAGGTGGGTGTAAGACCAATATTTTGCGGTGTTACAAATTTTGGGGCCACACAAAGCTATAATACCCTTACAACATAATTGTATATGGTATAATTTTTTTTGCAAAAATCTGAAATCGAAACGGCAAATTTCAGCCACATCAAGGACACACTAAACCCGGAAATATACCATATATACCAAAACGTGGACTGGTATTATTTTCTTAGTGTGAAGATTTAAAACTGCATGAGAACACAGAGTACCAAATTACCGTCAATTCGGCTGAAAAACATTCCTATTGTTGTCAGAGCAACGGAAACGGGATTATCCTGTATAGGGACTGCCCCGAAACATGGACCACTATTGATAATTTTTTGTATGGAGATTTTCTACCAAACGAAAATTCAAAATTGCATACCAATTTGCAGCTGATTAGTTTAAAAAAAACGTGTCCAAGGGTTTCATCCTGGACAAACAAATGGGCAACATTTATCTAAGTAGGATAATAAATGCGCCCAGTTCAGACAGAAGCACGAACATTCATATATTAACTCTGAAAGTAGTTCTAATCATAACCTTAAAAATAACTATGGTTCTATCATGTTTCCTTCTGGATGTTACAAACGTATGAATACAGACACAATACCCTATACCATAGTGTGGAGAGTGGGACGTTGATAACTACAATTCCAACCGACATTCATACGATTGGGTTGGTCAAAATGAAAAATGTTATGGATCCTGTATTTTCAGATTCACTATCTTGGAAAACTAAGCGATCAAAAATAAAATCAGAAAGGAGTTAAACTGTTAAAACGATGGCCACACATGATGAATTGAATTTTTTCCATATACACCGTATCCCGATCTGGTCCCCAAACGACTGTTTCATTATCTAAGACCTCAAAACAATGCAGGTTCAGGTTCTATTTTTAAGCAAAGAACAAATCGTATTAAAAAATGAAATAATGCTAAAAACAGTTCATTAGCCTTGATCGGATTTATGTTAAATAAAACAGACCGCGGACTTTTTAATTAAACATATGGGTATCATATGGCTCCCAGTGTTGTGTATTTTCTTCGTACCTGAAACCTATAACTTTAATAATTAAATATGGTGATTATTGGCAACTCTAGAAAAAAATTTCAAAGATATGAATTTTTTATAACAGCTGTTATTGTAAATAATTTAATAGTATTTCGTATTTTCTTTTCATTGCAGATCTCTCCGAATGCGAGCTGATGCAAATACCTGATGCTGTCTATCATTTAATGCGCAACACAGAATTAAAAACTTGTGATCTCAGTGGCAATGTGATAAAAAAGATTTCACCAAAATTTGCATTGAAATTCACATTGATAACAGGTGAGTGAGATACGAATCAGTACCAATGAGGTTTGATAAAAAAAATGAAACGTTTAGATCTGTTAATCAATTTTACGCCTTTAACGTAATCCTCCTCAGATATAATACACATATGCAAGGGTTTTCCAAAACCACGAAACACTTCTGAAAAGCGCTATTTGGCATAGCTAGCAGCTCCTATTCGGATTTTACTTTTATGTATTCAATCCTAGCAAAACGCGTTCCTTTCATCGGTGTATTCAGTTTTGGACCAAGTTCGATAAAAACGGTAGTTGAAACATGATAACGGTTTTTTGTGAGCTGATGTGTTATCTTGGTTTTTTCTAGCGAATTTCTTCTGGCAAGCTGCGCACAAGCTCAATGCAGTATTTCCTATTGAACGTATGGCGTTGAGGCAAGAATTCATGATGCACCATGCCATTGCATTCGAAGGAAAAAGTGGGGCAAAACCTTCATATTTGATAAAACTTGACGTGATTTTGTCAGTGTTGGCTCTTCTGAACGTTTCGGACTTTGGTTTTCATGGCCATACACCATGATTCATCACATTTTGGATGTAAATGAGAAATTACACGGCCAGGAAATGTCTTTTGCAATAAAGCCATATTCGGCACCGTTTCGAATTGACAGTGACAGTCGTTCCTATGTCGTTTTCGAAGAACTAAAGTCCAATCCGGATCAAAGAGCAGAATGTGAGAATGATCAGCTGGCTTCATATTTTTCGTCACATGGTCTTTATATGGATCTAGGTGTAAATCAAAATGCAAAATACGTCATAATGTGCAGTAAGATAGTTATATTTCCTGGGAACGACGAGGAATCGGTACATTTAGGCCATTTGCTTGAACAACTGGACGATTATGCGAACCAAAATCTCCTCTTAAAGCATGATATGTGGCATAATTATACTTTTTGTAGTAGGTTTTGATAATAGCTGTGCATTTTGAGATAGTTGACAGATGTCGAATTCAAGTCCCATACTTTTGCAAGGGATATCCCCGTATCTGTCTAAAAAATTGTCAATCCGAAATGGTTGGTATAATTGACGTGTATACCAACATAACAGAGAAAATACAAAAATTGAGTACCCGAAATCGTTTTTTTTTTTTTATCAGACCTCGTACATTATTTTTTCCATTCGACTTCGTTCGATTCCTTTTTTACAATATATTATTTCTTATACTATTTACAGACTTAAATCTATCACACAATCACTTGAGCAAATTGCCCGATGAATTGGCAGATCTCAATAATTTGACCAAATTGAATATTTCCCACAACTCATTTATTGTGTTACCACCGGTGGTATTTAAAATTCCTAAACTACGTGAATTGGATGCCAGTCATAATGCCATAATTGGTAAGCAAAAAAAAAAACAAATAATAAAACACGTTAATAACGCCTCGTCCCCTTGAGTTCGTTATAACCGTGTTCAACTGTATAATACAAAAATAATTAAAATATTTCCTCAATTTCTTACAGAAATCGATACCGATGAAATTATTACCAGCGATAATTTGGAATTGGTCGACCTGCGTCACAATCCATTGGGTCGTACCTGCCATCGTCAGTTGAAAAATATACAAACACCGTTCCGTTTGGAAATATCGGAATTTAATGAAGATGAAGACTGGTAAAAAATGTTAATGTAACATATATATATGTACATACACGGTGTATATATTACATACATAGATATATTATATGTTGTCAGTTAATGACAATATGACATTTATAAAACAAAATCAAAAACACAAGAAAAATATCTCAAAATTTAAGGAGGCATTATTATTTAGAAAATACAAAACACATCTATGCATAGAAAACCACTACTCACACATACATAATATACTCGTGGCCCTTGCACTTTTTTCAAAACTAATATTTTCATACAAAAATTCATAATTATCAGAAAAAATACAAAAAAATATATATATACAGTTGAAAAAATAAAACTCATCTATTTTAGTTTTTAAGTGTAAATTAGATTTAAGAGAAAAAATTTTTTATTCTGTTTCCATAATTAATGGGAATTAGAATTAGTGGGTCGAAGCACATACTGGCCAATAGGAATGAGAGTGCAGGATCTTTAACTTTTTTTTGAAAGAAAATAATGTACTGTCTACAAAAAATTATAAAATTATAATTTTTTGTTCTGAAAAAAAATTCTGAAAAAATAATAATTATAAATATTAAAAATCTAAAATTTAGAAAATTTCAACCTTTTTTAAAATCGGAACCATCTGGCAATGGTCGTTAATTTTTAAAGCGACATTTTTCAATTTGTTTTTATAGCAAAGTAAACTTCTTTTTTGACTGTACTCATATTGACCAGTGTGTACTAGGCTCTCAAAACAAGTAACTTGCCTTAAAAAAACACATTAAAATGTTCAGAAGAAATTGTATGTTTGATCGGAGCAGAACCATAAAAGTTACATTTTTTGAAAAAATAATAAAAAATATAGCAGTATATATGAAAAGGGTCGGAAAAGACGAACAGAATTAGGAACAAACTCGCAAATATTAGGTTGGGGTAAAAAAATCGAGCATAAAACTATGTTAAACCATTTACACAAAGCTAGATTCAAAAAGAAGTTCGATGTGTGGGTGCCATACCAATTAATAGAAATAAATAGGATGGATCGAATTTCCAACTGCGAAGTCTTGACCAGGAATGTTCTGCTATGCATTTGGTAGGACTGGAAGGCGCTTATTTATTATGAGTTGCTTTCATATGGTCAAACGCAAAATTCTGATCTCTACTGTCAACAACTGAACCGTTTGACGATAGTAATTGATCAGAATTGGCCAACAGGAGTGGTGTCGTGTTCCACCAGGGCAACGCTAGGCCACACACATCTACAGTGACTCGCCAGAAACTTCGGGAGCTTGGTGGGGAAATTTTAATGCATCCGCCATACCTCTTGTTTTCTTGCTAAATTTCTTTAATGATAAATAATTGGTAACTAGGGAGAATTGTGAAAATCGACTACTAGAGTTTTTTGCAAATAGAGAGCAGGACTTCTATGAGAGAGGCATTATAAAGTTACCTTTAAAATGGCAATAAATAATACAACATGTATATTTGAATTAAGAGTACGGTTTAAAGATTATTTCAAGCAAATGTTAACCGCGAATGCGCCTGAAAGGCTTTACGCCTAAATCCTTCCGCAAAATGTTGCATATTCTTGAGTAACAAATGGGATATATCAATACAGGTTTTGGTGTAGCCCCAATATAACGGCACATCCCAATATTCGGTATATTAGGGGTGTTGGGCTCGTTTTTAATCCAAATTTACTGTAAATTATTGGGAGTCAAACTTCTCTATCCAAAATCTATTGGTCGACTGTTTTAATTCGTTACCATAAAACAGAAGTTCCTAATGTCGGTATTTTTCGGAGTTTTGATACGATTTTGAACAACGTGAGTGTCTGTAGTTTGGTATTTTGTTTCTCCTAGTACCCTCGATAGATTTTAGCTATTTGGAATGTCCTAATCCTAGTAAAAGGCTAAAAAGTTCAACTAGTGTACCATCAAAAAGACTCATATTTTATAAACTAAACATCAGGCAAGTCGGACAAACTTCGGAACAACTAAACTACCATAAATTGTCATTTAAACAGGTCTTATTATCATGTTATCATGGTGCAAAATCCATCATCGGATTTCCACAATTCTGTGCCCACCTGACGAATTACTTCGCACAAACAGTGAATGTCTTCGAGGTAGTGTTCTTTATTGACAATACGACCTTATAGCAAGAGTCCATACTGCATCGCGCCAACAACAAAACCAAATGCTTATGTCAATGTCAGTCTATATTGGAATAATTAGGAGTTGATTTCATTGGCATTGCTTGGCTATTATTCGTCATCAATTATGACCTTTTCAAGTAGACTGAATCGCCATACAATTTCTTCACAATTATTATTGTACTATAGAAAGTATTGTATATGTGTGTTTTTGTAAATTTTAATTAATTAACATTAAGAAAACAAGAAAATGAAAAAAACATTAAAAAGAAAACATATATCCAAAGATAAACTACTAACACAATTTTTGTACTTACAAATACTATGTCCCAGAACATACAAACAACCTCATCATATGAGATTATCTATTATTTTTATTATTATTTTAATCCACAATATTATTTTAGTTTCTTTTTTTACTATGAACTGTGATTGTCATCTGATTAGAAAAAAACATTTGATTTATTTAAATATTATTTTCTCTTTTACCATGTATATACATTTAATATGCATATTTTATGTACATACAATTTTATTTTCAAATAATGAGAAAGGAGACAACAAGATCGGTAATTGACAAATATTTGTAAGTCAACTATAAAAAATGAACAAATCTACAATCTACCTAGTCATTACTATGGATCGTTTTAGTATTTTTTACAATACGGTACTGCCTGTCCTCATATATTAGTACTTATTTATAAATTAAGTTTTATTGTTACTATTTTTAATTTGTTTTATATTATTTTTAGTTCATAACTTGTTTATTTTGATTTCTATTTATTTCTTTTGTTGTAAAATATTTTTAAATAAATTATGATTTTAATTCATTCATATATGAATGAAAATGACAATCAAATACATGTGTTTTAATAAGGTGAATGAAGCAAGTGGAAATTAAATATGGATTTATAAAAAAATAATACAAAATACATTTTTTATGGGTACTAAGAGAGTATATCAGAAATATTTTTTGAATATCAATAGAGGCGTGGATTTTTAAAGAAATATTTTTTTTCAATACCAACAGAGTCGTGGATTTTTAAAGAAACATTTTTTTGGAAAACCAATAGAGGCGTGGATTTTTAGAGAAATATGTTTTAATACGTTTCAAAGAATATATAGTAATAGTTTTTTTTTAATAAACAACAGAGGCGTGGATTTTTACAGTGAGTCAAAAGTATCCACTTGGTTTTTTATAAAAAAAAATACAATAAGTACATATTAATCAATGAATTAAATTTTATCTTTTTTTATACCCTTCACCACACTGTGGTGCAGGGTGCATATGTTTGTTACAGGCAAAAGGAAACGAGATGGGCACATGGTTCCTTTTGGGAATAAGCATAGAATCACTTTCTAAGTCGATTTATGCATGTCCGTCCGTCTGTCTGTCCATGTTAAATTGTAAATAAAGTACATATCGCAAAAATAATCCAAATTGGATAAAATTTGGCTACTTATTTGGCCCAAGGACGAACCCTATTGAAATTTGGAAAAATCGGTTTAGATTTAGATATAGCTCTCATATATATTTTCGTCCGATTTAATATAAATGGTGTACCAAAGTACTTATATATCTTTCGATTTCCACAAAATTTGGCATAGTGTATTGAATTGAGTCCATAATGATGTGTGCTAAGTTTCGTGCAAATCGGTTCCGATTTAGATATAGCTCCCGTATATATGTTCGTCCGATTTAATGTAAATGGTGTACTAAAGTCTTTATATATCTTCCGATTTGCACGAAATTTGGAATAGCGCACTGACTTAAGTCTGGAATGATGTGCGGTAAGTTTCGTGAAAATCGATTCAGGTTTATATATAGCTCCCATATATATGTCCGTCCGGTATATGTGAAAATTGACATTTTAACTTAAAATTAATGAACAATATTTATGTGTATTCAAAGTGAAAAGTATCCCAGATAAAGGATTTTTTAACAAAGGGGTTTTTATAGTTTATACTTAGTATGATATCCCTTGTTATTTTAACAATTTTCAAACTCGTTTTTCTTGTAAGATATCTGAATGTTTTCCCATTCTACTTGAAAATAAATTTTCCGACTTCATATATTTGAGATGTTCTGTTCTTTTAATATTGTTCTCCAAAATGCTCCATAGGACAATTATAAAGGATCCATGCACGAACGATATGGAACTTTTGTTTTTTTTAGAATGTTTAAATAATAAATCGTATTCCTTCAATCCTCAGTGCTTTATTCGCCCTGCGTCATACCTTACTTAGTCCATCCAACCCAACCAAGTTAAATGTGCTTCCATCAATAAAAATAACAGGTTTCTAAAATGTGAAATTTTTTTCGTGTTCCCGAACGAACTCCAATCGGATTTTCCGGTTTTTGGGGTTTATGAATGGCTTTTTCAGTGCAACTCTACCATGAAGACCAATCCTTGTTCTTAGTTCAGTATGCTGAAGAACTAATTTTCTCTCGGCAATCGTTGTGTGGCGTCCTGTGATCTCAAATTCTTACGATGGCTATCCAAATAAGCAAATTTCACGCGTAAAGTCTAAACAAATTTCTGATGGAATATTTAATTTGATATTCCATGAGAAGATTGACATTTAAATATTGACTATGGTATTTCAATTATTTTAAGTTAGAATGTTCATGTTTACATATTAAAGGTCGTTTACATTGAACCGGATTTGGTTAACCCAGTGGGTTTAAATTTTCAATTCCTTTGAATATATGCCAAATAAATCCTCATAAAGTAGGTTAACCCGGTAAAAAGTTCTAATGTAAATGCCGTATTAAATAACAATAACATTTTATTCATTAATTAACATGCACTTCATTATATAATACGCTCTTAGTCAACATTACCCAAAGTTCCCCTATTTTAAAATATTCGGTCGGCCACTATTACT